CAGCCACTAGCTAGGGCTGCCTGAGCTGCTAGTGAGTGTAGCATCTGGGTAGAGGGGCAGATGGGTGCTGAAGGATCAAGGTCCCCTCCTCTGTGATATGTCACCAGAGGGGTATAAATAGAGTGGGAGCTTGGGCAGTCGACCCATTTGCAAGGGTAGAACCTGGGGCCCGGAGTACCAAAATCCAGGTCAGCGCCTGCATAAAGGCCATGGTCTTGCAGGCATGACTGGGCTCATGATTATAGTCAGTCATGGCAATCCACTCTGCTAGTGAGGCCTTCACCTTAATGAGGCACTGCCACACCAACCAGGAGTGCCCTTACTCCCACATGCCATCCTACAGGCCTTCATAAATGTACGTATTCCAGCGCGCACCCCACTTGAACTGCCTCAGCGCTACCCCATAATGCCATGAGGTTGCCAACCTCCTCCTGGGTCCAGTTGGGGGCCTGGGCATTTGGCACGGGCATGTGCATGTGAGTGAGGCTGGGGCTTAATGGGGAGGATGGTGAGGACATGCTCATCCTGTACCAGCTCTGTGGTCCCCTGTGTGGCTGTCACTGTGATGCTGGCCCTGGATAGCTGCTAGCAGTGCCAGGAACTGGAAGCCACATGGCAGAGGACCTGCAAGGACAGGAGCCACTCTGGGGGTAAGAAGCAGTAGGGAACAAGTGCTGGTGGCCTTGTTGCCAGAGACAGCCAGTCAGCAGCCCTGGGTGGGGATCTTGTGGCTGGGCAAGGGGTGCAGCAAGCTGCAGCCCTTTCCAACACTCACCTGTGGCTGAGCAGCAGCTCTGGAGGGGGAAAGGTCAGGGAAAAGAAGACTGTGTTCTACCCAGGGGGGCACATGGGGCCTGCACTGGTCCTGAGGAGAGCACAGGACCTTCACCTTATCCAGGAAGATCTTGGGGAGAATCATCAAGGAGCACATCTGTGGGGGCCAGCAGGGAAGATCATGCTAAGGGGCAATCAGCATGAGTTCATCAAAGGCAGGTCCTGCCTGACCAACCTTATTGCCTTTTATGACCAAATAACTAAATCCTTGGATGATGGTGTCGCCGTGGACGTAGTCTTTCTAGACTTTAAGAAGGCCTTTGTCACTGTCTCTCACCCCATCATCATCAATAAATTAAGTGACTGCAGCATTGATGCCTGCACAGTTGAATGGGTAAACAATTGGATGATGAGGTGCACCCAGAGAGTAGTAGTGGACAGGCTGTACTCAACCTGGCAAGATGTGAGCAGTGGGGTACCCCAGGGCTCAGTCCCTGGGCCCGCACTTTTTAACATCTTCATCAGCAACTTGGACAAGAGGGTGGAAAGCACACTGTCCATGTTTGCTGATGACACTAAGATGTGGGGCGAGGTAGACACACTTGAACGGAAAGAGAGGCTGCAACTAGATTTAGACAGACTACAAAAGTGGGCAGACGAGAATAGGACGGGGTCCAACATAGACAAATGCAGGGCACTGCACCTTGGGTGAAGGAATCCACAGCATACATAGAGGCTGGGGAGTTCCCCTTTTGAAAGCACAGACACGGAAAGGGACCTTGGAGTCGTTATTGACTCCAAGATGAACATGAACTGCCAATGCCAGACCGCAGCCAGCAAGGCCAGCTATACCTTGTCATGAATCCAAAGGTGCATCCCAAGCCAGTCCAGAGAGGTGATACTCCCCCTCTATGCGACTTTGGTCAGGCCGCAGTTGGAGTACTGTGTCCAGTACTGGGTGCCGCACTTCAATAGGGATGTGGCCAGCCTGGAGAGGGTTCAGAGGAGGGCCACCCACTTGGTGCGAGGGCAGGAGGACAGGCCCTACAAGGAGAGACTGAGGGACCTGAACCTGTTCAGCCTCAGCAAGAGGAGGCTGAGGGGGGACCTGGTGGCTGCCTACAAGCTCATCAGGGGAGATCAACAGTAAATAGGTAGAGCCCTTTTCTCCCCAGCACCACCTGGAGTGAGAAGGAACAATGGTATTAAGCTGATGGAGAATAGGTTTAGCTTAGAGATCAGAAGGCAATATTTTACAGTTAGGGTGGCCAAAATCTGGAACCAAGTTCCCAGGGAAGTGGTCCTCACCCCTACCTTGGGCAAGTTCAAGAGAAGGTTGGATGATCACCTGTCTGGGGTCTTGTGAGCCCAGCATTCATTCCTGCCTGTACAGTGGGGCAGGCTAGATTATTTGTTCAGGTCCCTCCTGACCCTAGCTTCTATGAAACTATGAAACTTTTCTAGCAGGGCAAAAGAAAAACACCTTGTTTTACTTTTTACTTAAAATTTCAGGAGGAATATAGCTGAGAAAAATATTTATAAACCTTTTAACCAAGAGCAGCAAACAGCCTATCAGAAATAGCTGTTGGTAACTTGATCAAAGGTTCTACCAAGCCAGTGGGCCAGGGTTTGGTAGAAGTCCCTAAGAGGTGCCTCTGGATTATCAGGGCTCAATCAAACCACGGTATGGTGCTAGATGATCCTCTGTTACCTGTCTCCATTGTATCCTTTTGATATAAGATCTTCACCTTTGATTATCTCTGGCCATGTGTACATGAGATGCTACTGTGCATTAGAATCAGAAAAAGAAAAATCATGTAGGGATGCTACTGTACAATAACACAAAGTACTGCACAGTCATTTAGTACTTGGTTAGGCAAGTACTAAATGACTGTGCAGTAATAGCTTTGCATTCTGCTGCTCATGTAGATACAGCCCTTGAATATCAAAGTTATTTCTCACACCTCTGTCTTCCTCCTATTAATTAGTAAGAAGCTGTTTGTGACATTTGCATTCAACAAAAAAAACAGCTTCTTGTCTATCATCCTCCTGAATGCCTCTTTCACTTCCCTATTCCTCAGGCTATAGATCAGAGGGTTCAGCATTGGAATTGCAAGGGTATAAAACACAGAGATGATTTTGTCCTCGTCCATGGAGTACTTTGAACTGGGCCGTAAGTACATGAAAGTGCCTGTCCCATAGAAAACAGTGACAGCTGTCAAGTGGGAGGCACAGGTGGAGAAGGCTTTACGCCTGCCATCAGCAGAGTTGATTCTTAAGATAGCAACTAAAATATATATATATGACATGAGAATGGTCAGGATGGTAATTGTTGCTATTGCAATTGAAAATGTGAAATGAATCATGTCAGTGATGTGGGTATCAGAACAGGACAGCTTCAAAATTGGGGGCACATCACAGAAGAAATGGTTGATGATGTTGGAATTGCAGAAGGACAGCCGAAATATAAAAATGGCCTGGACTGTTGCATTTACCCATCCTGTGAAGTAGGAGCCCAGCACCAGAAAGATGCAGAACTGCTTGGGCATAATGACAGTGTAGAGCAATGGACTGCAGATGGCTGTGAATCGATCATATGCCATCACTGCCAACAGGCAGCATTCACAGGATACAGCAATGCAACAAAAAAATAACTGTGCAGCGCACCCAGTGAAAGATATGACTTTGCTCTCTGTGATGAAGGTCATCAGGATCCTCGGAGCAATGATGGTGGAGTATCCAATGTCTAAGAGGGCCAAGTTGCTGATGAAAAAGTACATAGGGGTGTGAAGCTGGGAGTCAGTCTTGATTAACACAATCATCCCAAGGTTCCCCAGTAGGATTATCAGGTAGATGAAGAGAAAGACCATAAAGAGGAAGATCCGTAGCTTTGGGTTGTCTGTGAATCCCAGCAAAATGAATTCAGTCACAGTAGTAGTATTCCTCTTTGCCATTTATCCCAGAGGTGTGTATTGTGCTGAAAGAGGAAATGAATTCAGAATGAATGAGCACAGTGGCAGGACATTAGAGTTATAGGATGTCTCCTTGAAGAACAGAAATCCAAGATAGTGGTCTTATCTGATTACACCATTATTCTCTCACATATTATGTTTTGTTTTGTTTTTTGTCACACAGAAGTAGTAGCCTATCTAGAGAATTTACCCATGGTTTAAGGCTAGGATATTTTGGCACATGAACAAGTTACCGCAAGGTAAACCAACTGTTAACTTGCAGCAATGGGGCCAAACTTTTAGACAGGCATTCCATAAATAAGGCTCTGTGCCTTCCCCAAATGCTGCTGTAATCTCCATGCCTTCTTTGCCTGATCTGCTCCTCTGCTTTGTACTCCCTGCCTTGTGTTTATTGCATGATCTCCTGCTGTGCTGCCTTTCCCCTCCTAATCTGTCACCTGCCACATATAGAGGCTGCCAGTGCCACTTGTGTCACTCAGGCCACAGGTTGGCCATCCCTGTTTTACAGCACCCACAGCAGCTGCCAGCCCTAACAATATAGTAGGTACAAAGTATCTGAGCACTCAGTGAAAGTGGGGTCCTTGCATTTACCATGGAGTAAGTGCATATGCACAGGTGGCTTTGTTAGAGGAGTTGATATTCCGTATGTTCATATCCTAGCTTATTTCCATATCTGGACCCTAAGAGTTAGGAGATCCAAATTCAATTTTGTAGCAGAAAACCACTAGGCCTATTTCATCATAATATTACTTCATATGATATGACCACCCTTATTGGTTACCACTTACACACTGGACTGAATAGCAAGATCTCAGTTCAATAAACTTACAAGCCATTTACACCTACACATATTTTCTGATGGCACTAACTCATTTATTACATTAGTTAAAATAGATGCAGAAGCCAGAATACATTACAAGAAATAGGCTTTTAATGAGGAGACTGTAAGAAACAATGTTACATCTGGAATTTTAGAGTTTGTGTTCAAGCGACTTTATCCTGTTAGTTTCTAATGTCAGACCAAATGAGATTGCAAAAGTAAATACGTCTCCAGCAATTGGTGCAATAAGTGATGATACTTGGGATATGGCAGAATACTATCATAAGAAAGACCTCACTGGGCACCTCTACACATGCATTTTCTCCAGCCCAAATTTACTCTGGAGTAAGGGATTTTGGGCAGGCTTCTACACATGCAGAGACTAGGGAGAAAATTTGCACCAAGTTCCCGGCAGTCCTGCAATTGGCCCCTGCCAGCACTGGGGAGAGCTCCAGACTCTCCCTGGGTTCTAGCCTGCTCGGGGCTTGGCAGACAGCACCCGGCCAGGAAACAGCTTTCTCTGGACCCCAGGGAGCTGCCTTCAGCTGGGGCAGGGATAATGTCCCCCTGCCCCATCAGCAGCAAGCTCCTGGCTCTGGCTTCCTCATCATGGGCAAGGGGCTTGGAAAGAGCTGCAAGGGTGAAGCAGGTCCCTACCCCTTGCTCTGATCCACCATTGGGGCAGCTAAAAGCTAACTAGCTTCTAGCTGCCCCACCGGCAAATCAGGACAGAGCTGGGGGCTGGGACCTAACCCACCTCTGCATCTCTTTCCAAGCCCCGTGCCTCGATCACTGTATTGGGTCACGGAGCTGGGCCCTACCCTACCTCGGACAGTTCCCAGCCAGCCCAGGGCCGCGTGGAAAAGTCCGCATGTGCAGCCCATAGCTAGCTAGGAACTGCCTGAAACAGGGCAGTCCTCAGCTACTTCCAAGCTACACATGCTTCCCGGCATGGCCTGGAGCTGGCTGCGAAGTGTCCCGGTCAGCGGTATGTCCCAACAATTCCAGGCTGGGTGGGGAACTGTCCCCATGCAGGGAGATCCCTGGTGATCAGGGAGTGGTGGCTAGAAGCTCCTTGCTGCCAGGGCAGGAGAATATTGTCCCCACCCAGGCATGCAGGGAAGGGGAAAGGGAGCTTCCTCACAGAACTGGGCAGAGAACAGGATCCCCAGCCCCCACCTCAGGGAGTACTCAGTGCTGGCTCCAGGACCGTGAGATTCTTCAACCTCCTTACTGCCATGGCGGGTGGACATAGTCCTAACCCAGGCTCCTGTGATGAAGCCTGCCCCTGCAGCAGGCAGCTCCCAGGGGCAGGGAAGTATCTCTCAGCCCCTGTTGGATGGCTGACCAGCAGCAGATTTTGCTCCCACTCGAGTATGAACACTTTGGCACGGTTACTAATGCTGGGTAACTTTGGTAATTGCATTTGCAGGTAACAGATTTACTCAGGGTTAGGGAGGTTAACTGCTAAACAAATGCACACGTAGATGTACATGCCTACTTCACTGTAAAATATACTAATGTGAAATTAAGTGTCTTCTCTAGACATACCACTAAGCAAAAACAGTTTATACAAGGAGATGAATAAACTCTGAGGCTGTAGCCACACATAGTGTGGACTTTTGGTTCCCCATGGACAACTAACAGTGGCACACTTTAGAAAAGTTACCCCAGGTGGAGTAGGGGAGGTTGGGGCCAGCAGCTGCAGCATAGCTCTGTTCTCTCCATTGCAGCGCAGAGAACATCTGAACGTGAGGTATGTGGCACCACATATCACACAGCCGCACTCATCTGGATGTGGCCTGAATATTGCATCCTTTTGACTCTCTTTTCCTACGTTTGAACACTGTGTGTGGTGACATAAATACATTGGCTCCATAGGCACATGAAATAAAAAAGTAAGAACGTAAAAGCCCCAACCTTAAATAAACAAAGAAAAATGAAATCAAGTAAACAACAAACCTGGGATATTACCAGTTCCATTTTTTCAAATAGCTGAATAGGAAAGCAAATGCAATTAAAAAGTTGATCACAGCTCATGGTAGAGGTGATATATTTTATTAGACCAACTAGGTTTTTGCCAAAAAAAAACCCCAAAAAGCAAACAAACAAACAAACAAAAACTTTAATTGCAAGGTTTCAGGCACAAATACCCTTCTTCAGGCATACGAGAAAAAAAGGTAAACATTCTCCTGGGTAGAATGAAATTTCACATTTCATAGGAGAGTTGAAGGTGTGGTAAAATCTCCTCTTTGGAAGAGTTCATTTTATATGCAGATTAGGCTCAGAGAAAAGTTGGAATAGTCTGTTTACCTCAACTTTGTTTGGTGGTAAGCTGGATATAGTCATATTTCTTTCTAGTTATGATGTTTTACGTTTCACAGAGGAGTAGAAATGCTCTTCTGGGTAGATATTTGTTACATGTTAAGGAGTTTCTGAGCTCTGTGATGAGGCAACTTTGAGGTAAACAGACTATTCCAACTTTTCTCTGAGCCTAATATGCATATAAAAATGAACTGTCCCAAACAGGAGATTTTACCACACCTTCAACTCTCCTATGAAAAGTACATTTTCATTTCTACCCAGGAGAACTTTTACCATTTTTTCTCCTATGCCTGAAGAAAGGTACATGTCCCAAAAAGCTTGCAATTATTATTATTATTATTATTTTGCAAAAATATAGTTGGCCTTATCACCTCTATCATTAGTTCAGATTCCCATTGCCTCTACACCAATACAGATACAACCTCGATACCTTTAAAAAGTTTATATCATCCTTAATCACAATGCATCACTGCAAGGTATCAGAATGTACAAAATTATCAAAACCAAAATAAAAAAAATAAAAAGGATGAAGTCTGAATAAAATGTTCTGACTTATTAAAATAATAATAAAACCAAAAACATTTTACAGCTTTTTGGAAAACTACATTATCCAATTGAAAAATGTTGCACAAACAGTTTTTAAGCCAACTCTTCTTTTAATTGGTTGAAAAATGATTTTTTTTTCTATCAGCATTTTTGTCATGGAGAGAGGCTCATGTCTGCTGAGACTGAAAATCCTGTGCTACCCTTAAGATTATTAGCTGGAAAATGAATATCCCGAGACAGTGCCAAAGCCCTGAATTTTGGTTCCCTGGGCAAAGCCCACAGCAGCAGCCCACTCTCGCCCCGTGCACAGATTTGGGGTGGTGGGGCACACACCCCTCCCTCATGGGTGCATGCAGTGGTGGGAGCCAACCACATCCCATCCCCGCACCCCCCAAATGATCTGCTTGAAGCTCTGTACCACACCCTGAAGTGGCTGGGCAGCTCCCATTCGCCCCAACTTTGCTTCGATGCCTGGGGCGGTTACCTCACTGCCCCCCACCCCACACCTTCTCCAACCTTCCTACAGTACTTTCCCCACAGTACTGGTCCTCTTACTCATGAGTTGCCAATGTTTTTAATCCTAGATCTAAAGAATGAAAATCTAAGTTAAAAATAAGGCACCTATGAAGCTTGCAGCCATTACACATCTACCAGTATACATGATCAGAAAATAGTCTATACCCAGACCAGAAGTTCAGCACACATAGGCTGGTTTAAACATGACACAACTCCATCTAAGATTCCTGCCTCCCACCCCTCAACCAAAGGGTGAACATGTGTTCTTTTCAATACTGATATAAACTTCACCACTTACAGAAAACTGCATAACTTAAATTGATTTTGAATGTATCATAACTTTTGAACGTCTAAGTCTAGCCTATGTGTCAGTGGTGTTAACTAGCAGCTAAGAAGAGGTTTTCAGGATTTTAATTTTGCATTTAGGGTTTAACTGTGAAATTTTAATCTTTCCTGGTTTTCTAACTAGCCATTTCTTGTTTGGCTGCATGAGTTCTCAGAAATTTTAAATACAGACTTATGCACCTAGGGACATTCTTTTTTCAAGAAGCATAGCCCTGTGTGCATGAACAACTATGCACAGTTCCACAACTGCAAAATCAGAACATGTAGAATAGCATCCAAAGCTCATAGGTACATCCTTTCTGGACATGTTGTGAATCCTGAACTTAGCCTCAGGAACAGAAAATGGTCCCCTGCTCTGGTTTTGCCCCTTATCGCTCCGTGACTGTGACATTCACCTGGAAAGCCAAGGGGCTAGGTCCTAGACCCTGCC